GTACAGCACTGAGACACGGGGGTCTCAGTCATCGGTAACCATGAACCTCATCACACGCAATGTGCTCAGTGCAGAGGCAGGACATGGGCATGAGAGGAGGCCTCTCCTGTAGAGCTGACAGGCACTCCAGTCAGCTTAAATGCAATGAACACCTGCTAAACTGTATTTTCTAAGCAAATAAAATGGGTGTGTACCATTTTTTAACCTTTTTTTCCTTTAAAAAAAAATCGATGAATGCAAGCCACCTCACCAGTTTTCAGACACAAAATACTTGGTTCTACTTTCATTATGAACATGAACCTCTGAATTATATAACCATTAATTCAGCACTGCAACAATTCATGAATTAAGCATGAGCTTGATAAAAACACTTGAGCTGCATAAATGACCGGGTCATAAATGAACAATCCTCTGTGTGTGCAGTATTTTTCTCTGTAGACCAAAGCTCTTCACAGCACCGTTCCAAATGAGCACAGATAGATTTATACAATTGCCAATCAGGGAACCAAACATGTCTGCAAACAGTACAAAATACCCCACGTACAGTCCAATTACAAAACGCGAAATGGATTACACTTTTGTTGCGATATGAAAATATTTTGTTGTGAATCTGATCGGTTTTCAAGATTTTGCAGTTAGACGAAAAATCTGCGAAGGAACAGGTAAAGGTTCATTCCACGGTGAAAGGTAAATAAAACGGACACACGGTAGTGTTCCTTTTCCTTTCAGCAAGGAATAAACCTTTACCTGTTCCTCTGCAACCCACGCATGCTAATGCAGCTACCTACTCGAAAAATAGCGGTTATTGGATAGACATTGGGGATAAACAAGAGGTGTAAAGAAGCTGCTTTGATAAAAAGATGCACCTGTCAAAGGCCAAACGTGTCTGAACTCCTGTCCCGGATGGGACAAGAAAAGATACACTATTATTATTATTATTATTATTATTATTATTATTATTATTATAAACCGCACAGCGCACGAGGCTCGAACTCCACCACTGACGACGACGTCAGTTCCGACGTCCGCCAAGTGGTTGGAGCGAAAAACACCAGGAAAAGGGTCATGGACAGTATCAGGTGAGACTAACGCGATATCAATAATTGGAAAAAGCACAAATAATGTATTGTGAAGAAAATGGGAAAGGTTTTCAGAGCTGGGCCTCTGCTCAGGTGATAGAGACGCGGCTGCGTTACGTTTCAAGACACATGGGCTTATTTACTCATCATCTCCAGGAAATGACTGGTCCGTGAAGTGTGAGCCTGTGAAAAGGAAGGTTACAAGAACGAGCGGCCACCAAGCACACTGTCCTACAGTACGTGTCCACAGAGCTCGTAGAGGCGAGCTGTGAAAGAGCGCTTGCGTTTTCAAACGGGCCGGGGACGACAAATGGCGTCACGTCTGTCCCGGCTGGCAGCTGAATCGGACCTGGGCAGCAAACTGGTGTTCATGTCATCATACCTGATTTTCCTGCCCTTCATACACAGACACCCCCTCGTTTAAAGAAAAGATATACATTATGATGAGGTTTTGTCTGGATTTGTTGCTTTCAAAATGACCACGATAGCGTTGAACCGTATGTATACATAGCACGCACGTAGCAATACTGTACGTGTAGTACCTGTGATTTTGTAAACCTCTATTATGAACGACACGCAATCTGAGGTCACAAGACTCACAGTATCCGAATAAACTCAAATGTCTGAAAGGGCTGCTTGTGGATGTCACGTATATGAAGTGTTGCTAATTACAATTAATTGTATCAACCCGTTCTTTACTACTAGAACAGACACTGTGGACTAGACCCGCTGTCAAGAGTCCTCCGCATTAATAGACTATCTGGGTTTTGTTTTAGATGGCCTATTAATAAAGCAAATGATAAGCGTAAAACTGTAAGGTACTTTTTGCTTTGGTTGGGCTACATTTAGCTACTTTTGAACGGGCGTATTGTGTGCGTGTGTGTTTGAGTGGTAAAAGAGTTCTCATGATTGTTGCTGCAATGGGTCGACAATGAATGGTGCCTCTGTAGTAATGGATTTTGGTTTAATAATGTTTTCAGTGGGGCAGGGCGGTCCTAGTGAGTCTTGAGCCGCTGGCTGGACAGCGTGTGTGAAGGCAGAGCCACGACCTACACCCACACTGAACACCCGCAGAGATCTGCAGAGAGCCCACCCCTCCAAGACGATAACCATCTAGACACCTAAACAGCTAGTCATCACTTTCAAAGGTCATAAAATTAACAACGTAGAGATTTTTGTTTCAGATAGCCTATTAATAAGGCAAACGATAACTTCTCCAAGCTACTAGATTTTTGGTCTAATTAAAAAAAATGATTCAAATATTCCGCTGATTAATATTTCAGTGATTGACGCTCAGAAACTTTACCAAGCAATATTCTGAAAACCAGAAATGTTTCCTTCCTACAGCATGTTCGCGTGCCTGGTGTACGATTGCTAGTTGGAAAGAAACTCAAAATATTTGAAAATGGTCGGATTTTAAAAAACTACGCGGTGTTTCAGAGAAACGAGCAGATCTCCATGAAAGGTAACAGGACTGGCTCCAGAGCAGGGTAGTGTGAAATCTGTAACAATATCTGATAATAAGCATTAACGCTGGATTTTGTACTCACACTTTTTTCTCACAAAAATATACGGTTTATACAAAAATTATACAGCGCATTCGCAATTAGTAATATATACAGTAAAGTTGCATCGATAACGCAGAATATGTTTTGTGCTATCCAGAAGCAGACTTGTGCTCAGTTGCTGGCTCTCTCTATTTCTGAGGTGGCGTTAAACCCATATTAATATGAAGTGATTCTGTAGGTTCTACTGTATACAGTTACACAGCTGTGTCCTGACTGTCTTTGATTCATTTCTGGGATGGAGTGAGACCCAATAGATCAATACTGAACTGTAGGCTGCTGTCCTGCATGACTGCTGACCCACTGCACGGGTCTCACGTTTGGAAGACTGGGACGGCCACAGCACTGAGCTCTGCTCGTTACTCTCAGTCTCATACCAGAGCCTGTTTAGATAATACAAAAATCGCCTTTGTTATGCTTTTTTAGGACGATTTCTTATCGTTTACAGGGTTGGACGTCATGCTGTACAGCAGGTCCTTCCTTGCTTCTCAAACTTGGAGCAGCGCAGCATGGACAGCGCGTCGGTGCAAGGCTGTCCTGCACAAAGAAAGCAGGCCGGACACACCAGGGATGCAGTCCCACTCGCCTCAGCGAAGCCAGAGGCATTAGAGGCCCCTCTTTACATGAAGGGTTGTGGGGGTCTGGAACATGCTCGACGGCCCCCATTGTAAAAACTGACAATCCGACTGAAAGAGAAACTGCGATCAAGTGATCGTAAATGATCATCCCGCTTCATGTACTGATTTGAAAGAGCCATATGTAACTGCTGCATCCTTGTAACCTGGATCACCGCTGGTGTCCATAGGGGACAGAAGTGCTGACGCTGTTACTATGTTTGTGCCTATTAACACCCAGCTTGAAGCACTTCGTGAATGTGGGAGATCGCCCTAATACCACCTCCAAGCAAATCTCCAACACCAAAATATGTGCACGGCTACAGAGTGTTTTATAGTTGTAGTGTTATGATATCCCACTAACGAAACACATGAAATTTGCAAAACAAGCGGCCAGGCCTGGACTCCCGGCCCATGACCGCGCCTCGCCCTGAACTCGCGGCGCAGCGCCGTTCGGAAGGAGGCGCGCAGGATGACACCGCTCTCACGCGTTCATGCCCATGTGCGACATTGAAGAGCGGGGAGAGCTCTGCTTTCATAGCAGCGGCAATGTCAAAACACCTCGGGTGCCCTGGCCAACCCCCTTCAGAGCCACATGAATCAGAACCTGCTGCCACAATCTTAAAAACAAAGATGAGGAGCCAGGAGTTCTTCCGTAACAGCCTTCATAAACACCTCAATTAGTTCATGAATTACGGACGCATCCGCTTGCTAGGATGGAGATATTTTACACGAACCGTACAGGAATACAAAAACATTTTTAGAAATAACTTACTTTAAATACTAAACAACAAAATCCATTCAACATGCACGATCGTTTATAGAAATTAAAGCCAACTGTCGTTATAATACAGTTTCAAGACGTTACGCGACATTTTGTGGATCTGCACGACTAATTCAGCAGCCTCCAGTAACCTTTCAGTAGCCAATAGCTTTATAGTTACTGGGACAAGTCCAGCATCCAGCTTAAATGACTGTAAACTACTTGCACAACAGAAAGGCCAGAACAGCTACATAGGCAATCATTAATAAGTCAACATCTACCCAATGCAGCTGCAAAAACCGAAAAGGTGGCGTTTTGTGAATGGAAGGATCTGACGAGCAAGCTGTCGGTAGCCAGTGAGGTAGACATCCCGGAGCTCTCGTCAAGCAGCGCCCGCGCGTGTGGGTCACACCTGAGGTGGCGTCAGAGGTCAGCCGAGAGACTGGTGACCCGGACCAGTGCGCTGCCGCTGGGCAGTGACTTGAACGCGGTAGGTACGCCAAAGCCGCCGGCTGCCCAGCGAGTGGCCCGAGAGACCGCCGGCCGCCTGAGGAATGCTGGCACCGGGCAGCGCGGCTCTGACCCTGCATGGGAACCACTGACGCAGCGGCGTGCCTCTCCCTCAGTCCCCTGTGCGCGTTCTGCACCGAGACTCGCACTGCAGCAAACCGAGACAGAGTGACACCCTCCCGGAAAACGAAGACCCCCAGATGGATCAGATCCGGTGCCAATTTGTCCACCGTTCTTCTTTTTATTATTTTGCAAGTACTAACAATACACAGATAGTGGTGTGTCTTTTAACACGAGGCCTCACCTTACCGAATACCAATAAAGCAGAACCCGACCGGCCGAGCCAGAGCAGTTGGGAAAGCATAACGGGCCGTTCAGCGGCTTCAGCAGCACCGCACTGCAACAGCGCAGGGCTGCCGCCAGCGCTTGGACACGACAACAGACAATGGGATGCCAGAAGACTACTCACGCCCTGGTTTTGGGAAAGCCCATGGACAGGAGCACGTCTAGGTTGGACCCATGCTTCACTGTTCCCGGACGGTTCTGGCGCTGCCTCCGCGGGACGATTTTGGTGTAGAGATCGTCTTTCGCTGCCATAGTTCACGGTTCCATTAATTGTACTTCAGCGACCTCCCAGCCAGAGCCACAGAGCAACAGAGACATAGGAGGAAGCTGGAGAGGATTTTGCAAGTACAGTGCGATCGCACTCAAAAAAAAAAAAAGTGCAGCTTCAGTTTCCTATGTTAACGCACAGCTAGAGCTCCGCTTCCTGGAGCACAGCGCACCAAATCATGATTGGAGAGGAGCAGGCAGTCGGCTCCTGCCCGTCTCTCTCTCTCAGATGCGCTAATTGGGCGAATCGGAGGAGTTTTCACAGCCAGGATCTCCTCAGAGACGAGTGCCAAACATTTCCACACACACAGGTCTCGAAATTAATCATCCCTTGTGACTGCACTTCCTCCTGCAGTGACTAATTTATGAATGGATCGTGACGGAACGGCTCGGCTCGGCCCGTGCGTGTTGCCATACTGGAGCCCCTCCCCCGTCTTAAAGACACAGCTGCCTGCACACCTTCATACGCCAGTATCGACATGCCACGACATCAGTAGCGGAGCGACGGCGACGTGTTACGGTAGCAAGCCTGTTACTTGAGTCAGTATGTGGCGATATCGGGGATTACTGAAGTGATTACATTCGTAAATAGGACTATGTCCGGGTCTGACAGGCTGCAGGACTGCATTTAAGTGTCCTTATGCTTGTTTTTATTCTAATTATTTTACACGTCCTTCAAATGGACAGTTTCTTTTTTAACTGTATGCATACATATAAGTAGAAAGTATATCAGGAGGTTCTAAGGTCATTCTAAGATCCAAATTCAGAATTATGAATGCCACCTTGTTCCAGTTGCTCTTGGACTGTAGTCATGTGACCTGGTCATGTGATCAGCTGGTCCAATATTAGCATGACAGCCCCTCTGTGATGTCATTGTACTCTGGTCACACAGAATTATTATCTCCATCTCCCATCTCAGGACCCTCCCAGCTTGTGTCATACAGCCCAGCAAATGGTTTCACAGCCTTTCAGAGGAGTCAGTGCTCAAGCTATGACACTTCAAAAAGCAGGTACAAAATTTTAATCTTTATTTTTTTTTAATTTCAGAACCATTAGTAACCAGTTGCAGCTTATTATAATTGCTTACACTTATATAGCACTTTTCTGGACACTCCACTCAAAGC